AGAAAGTTAATTATTCTACTTCTGTATAGAATACAAATGGCCCCCTAGCCTTCATTTGTGATTTACATAAAACAGAACAAAATTTGATTAAATACGGCAGTGCATTCAACTTACTGTGACTTCAAATTTTACTTTATAATTGTGTGTGAAAAAGTAATTAAAAGGCATCTGCACTCTAACATAAATGTTATTTACAAGTGAAAAATTGTAATCCTTTTTTGTCCTGGCTCATTACACAAATTTAAGTGGAATCACTGATGCTTTCAAACAATAAATATTTTCTGTCTATTTCTAAATCAGTTAATAACACTCCCTATTTTTATCACAGCAAGCTTCCACATTCCTGACACGTTATCTTAAAAGTTTAATGTACCAAATATTCTTTGAGGGGAGAAGCCTGCAAAACATATCAATTGTTTAGGCAGAAGTTAAGTGAGTACGTGTACATAACAGATAAATCATAGCCACCAGAATGTAAACCTGCCTTTGCCAGGATTTCTATGAACACACAGCAGATATTCTGACGACGTGATTGTTCTTTCATGGTGAGGTTCATCTACAAATAAAGTAGCTGCTTGCCTAAGCCAGTAGCAATTCGGTTCCAGTAACTCTGCTGGTTGTTTCAGTTCTATACCCTGTAAAATAAAAGTCAATCGACTGGTACGAAAACTGTTTTCCCACACATCTGGGCAAAGTTACGTTTTGTACTGAGGCACAGTCTTCTATTCAAGAAGTTCTTCATCTAGCAACAATTATTCTCTGGACACCAGAGGATGTATAATCATTGGAAAGTACAAACTCTATCTTAGACAAAGGGGTGAGTCCTTTGAAAAACGTTATTCTCACTTAATCCATATAACAGTAATCCTTTACAGTAAGTTTTGTCATTGCCCCTGGTTTACAGAAGAAGAAAAAAGTTCAGGAAGATTAAATTGCCCACAGCCCCATGAACAGTAAGTCTGACTCTGAATTCCTCAAAATGCAGCTCTGGCCCATGTCTACTAGAATTACCCAGGACGCCTATACTCCTAAAAACAGTGACAGACTCTGTCCAACAGGGTCGTTATGAGTCAAAATTAACTCAATGACAGTGAGTTTAAATTTGAGTTTTGTGTTTAAAAGACCTAAGGCCTACCAAATAAATCTATGCAGACAGAGCTGGTGACCTGCACTCTTAATATCCTCTTCACATCAAATGCTGACAAACGCTAGTGACCATACCATCGGGGTCTTAGAGCTGATTACTCTTTTATTTCTGAGTATCTCTCTTACAATGAAATGACAACGAAATGAAACAATGAAATAACAAGTTCAACTAAGATGCTAGCAATAAAAATGTTACAAATAATTGAGAAAATATAAATACTGTAGTAGGATTTCTTCGGGCTTCTATAACACATTACTGACTTATTTCTGGCCACCAAGGAAATCACTGACTGCATTCCTGGAGCAGATAAAATAATTAGTCCAAATGGGTAATTCTTTAGTATTTTAAGTAAGCTGATGCTCCATGTGCTATAACTTATACTCTTATACCGAACAATTTAATTAACCAAAACATTTGAAACAGCCAAAAAGTGTAAAAACTAACCTTGAAATCTTTAGCAGTTCTTTAAATGTATAAAAATTATAATTTATTTCCCCCCCTTAAAACACGGTATATCTTTATAAAAATATTCATACACTGTACTATGAAATTGTTAAACCTTATTCTAACATAATGACTTTTTCCTTGGTACAGATTAAATAGATTCTATAATCCTAAAACAACACATCTCTGCAAAGACTTCTTTCTATAGACAATGAAAACTCTCCGAGGTTTCTGAGCAGAGAGGTGAAGTAATTTGGTACATATAGATATGAGGCATAAAACACACAGAAACTATTGCAACACTCACTTCAGGAAAGAAACTAAGATGCCAGACACATGCTGGCTTAAGACGGACAGGATCTAGATAAAGACCGATAAAAGAAAAGTCAAAGGTGACCTCAAACTGGAAACCTCAAGATAGAAAACACTGGAGATAAAAATATTTACCTTTCTCCCCATCATATGCAAGGGGCTCAAAACAGGGAAAGATAAATTTGGTTTTCGATATGATGAAACAAGGTGTTAGAATATACATTTTTAACACTCTGAAATCTATTGGGTGGATTAAATTTATATCTGTAATTTTTTGTTTTATAAATCATTTTATTGGGGGCTCTTATAGCTCTTATAACAATCCATGCATCAATTGTATCAAACACATTTATACATTATGTTGTCATCATCATTTTCAAAACATTTTCTTTCTACTTGAGCCCTTGGAATCAGCTTCTCTTTTTCCTTCCCTCCCCGTCTCATGAACCCTTGATAAGTTATAAAATATTATTATTTTCATATTTTACACCATGTTGTTCATCCCCCTTGGGGGTCGGGGTGTTATATGTCCATCATGGCAATCGGTTCTCCCTTTCTCTCCCCACCTTCCTCCTACCCTCAGGGTATCGCTACTCTCAATATTGGGTTTTTGTTTGTTTATTTGTTTTGTTTTTTGGTACTCCCATTATTGTTCCTGAGAAGTTTCTCTGTCCTGGATTCCATAGCGTCTGGGGTCTTAAAGACTTGAAATTAAACAAGTACCCATCTGGCAGGGAAGCAACAAACCCCACACAGAAGAAGCACGCTAGTCTGTGTGATCATGAGGTGTCGACAGGATCAGGTATTAAAAGAACAAAAACAATCATATTCAATGCAAACGAGGGGGGCTGGAGTGGAGACCCAAAGCCTATCTGTAGACAGTTGGACATCCCCTCACAGAAAGGACACAAGGAAGAGAAGAGCCAGCCAGGGTGCAGTATAGCACCGATGAAACATACAATAATCCTCTAGTTCTTTAATGCTTCCTCCTCCCCAATATTATGACCCCCATTCAACCTTACAAATCTAGCTAGGCCAGAGCATGTACACTGGTACAGATTAGCGTTCTTGACACATGGAATCCAGGACAAATCTGTAAATTTTAATATAGTTCTTTCAAAAATAAGCAATAAGAAGCTTTTTTTTTTTTACTCTGGTCCCTTTTATTGAGACTGAGGGCCAAAGGGTGCATCCAAATGAAAATAAAAGTTCTCTCCAAGTCTGTCCGCAGGTTACCACCTACCCCCAGTCCCAGCAAGTCCCGCTTGGGGCCCTTGGCCACCCTCACCCCCTGTAACACAGGTCTGGCTCCTGAGTGACAGGATGCTGATGGCCCAGCACCTGATGTCCTGAAGAAGCATTTTCAACTATAGACTATATCAGAATTAATTTAATAACAAGTCATTCAAGGAAAGTAGCTGATATTAGCAAAGAAATAATTCACCATGCAAACACAAATGAAAGCAACAGCTTGACAGAATCTCTATCACTGTCCATTTAAACACTGAGTTAAGGTAAGGTAGGAAGAGCTTACAGGGAGTAAAACCTGGTTCCCTCTATTTCGTATGTAAAGGAACAAAAGGAGAAGTTATCTTATATAAAATAATGACAAGGGCACTGAAAAGTGTAAGAATCAACTCTGCTGCCAGAATATATCAGTCAGAACTTCTAGTAACAATGGAAAAAAATGAGGATGGTGGGAGGGGTGGGAGAGATAATTAATTGTAATTCATAGCCAAGTTATAGTCATACAGAGCAATAAATATAAATAACATGTGATACCTGAAATCTGCAAGTAATTATTTAAGCTCTGGCATAAAAAGAGACTCTTTGAAAGGATATTATGATTTTGGAAAGATCATCGGTTGTACAAATAAATATAAAAACTAAAGTGATGAGCTCATTCAAGAAGTACAAATAAGGTGTTATGAGAGGTGATTTTTAATGGGAAAGCAAGATAAGTTTGGGGATGGAGGAGGGACAAGTTTAACCCTGTAGGGATAAGAAAGATTTAATAGGCAAAATCAAAAGGAAGCTTGTTCCAGTAGTAGGAAGGTTATAAGCAAAAGTAAGAGTACAGGCAGTTTTTCATAACCATATGTACGATGAACTGTACACGTTAACACTGAGGCTCATGAAGTACATCTGGAATCTCAGAATGTGGTCTTATTTGAAAATATGGTCTTTGCAAATACAGTATTTAGTTAAAGATCTTGAGATCTAGAGAAGACTCTAATGGCTGCTATCATTACAAGAAGAGGACAAAGAGACACACAGTGAGTAAAGGGCAGGGCAGGGAAGATAAAGGCCCAAACTGAATTTATGCTGCCACAAGTGAAGACCACCAGATGCTAGAAAACAGCAAGGAAGACTTCTTCCCTAGAGCATTCAGATGGAGCTGGGCCTTTTGATACTTTGATGTCATATTTTAGATTCAAGAATGATGAGAGAATAAAATTCTGTTCCTTCTGACCACCAAATTTGAGGTAAATTGTTACAACAGTCCTATGAAGCTTGATTAAAGGCAATTAGTAGAAGGCTCTGTATTAGATAAGGAGCCCTCTTGGATCAATGATTTATTGCTTTGCTGCTAACAGAAGGTCAGTGATTCAAACCTATCAGTCACTCTGCAGGAAAATGATGCTTCCATAAAGATTATAGCCTGAGAAATATTAAAAGGCAATCTATCCCATCATAAAGGGTTCCTATGAGCTGGAACTGGCACACAACACCAGCACCATGGATTCCATGGAATCCCTGGATGGTGCTAATGCTTAAGGTGCTCAGCTACTAACTGAAAGGCTGGACATTTCAACTCACCCAGAAGCACCTGAGAAGAAAGGCCTGTTGATCTATTTCTAAAATAATCAGCCATTGAAAACCTTAAGGAGCGTAATTATACTGTGACATGGAAGGGGTCACCAAGAGTTAAAAACAACTCAATGGTAACTAGTCTGCTTTTTAAAATATGGTCCATGCTAAAGTATTTCACTATACTTTGGAAGGGGAAAATAAAAATCACTTACATGCATATTCCCAATTACTAGGAAACTGGATTAAAAGGTAAATAGAAAAAAACAACATGTCATTTACTTACAGTGTGTGACTCCAGCTAGAGTTTGGTAGAAAGTAGGGGTATCACTATCATCAGTGAGAGTAACATATACACCTCCAGATAACAGCCAACGAGAGAAGGTAAAAGCATCTTTGTTTAAAAGAAGCCAATTTCTAAACTTTTCATAGTTAACCTTTTCACCCTAAAAGCAAATAGAGAAAACACAAGTTTGATCAATTCTTAAGGAATTTTCCTTAGAATCTAGACAATTTAAAATTTGCAATTAGTTGACAGTGACCTTTGTTATCTAGGTTATATAAGTAACCTTAGATGGCATACACTTAGAAATAATAATGTTTTCAAGCACAAATGCACTTCAGAATTCTCAATTGTATAAATTCTATATGGTAAAAAAACTTATTTGATCAATCCATTAAAGTAGATTGTCCACTAGTCAGCCACACTTTACTTGGTAAGGTAGGTTTTGAAATCAATGTACTACATTTCTTTCAATATTTAATAAATCTAATTTTTCACTGCTTCTTCCTCACCACCCCCCAATTTGTCTAAATTAGCATGTGTTAATTAAATCTGCATGAGCTTACAATACTTTTACATATCACTGTCAAATTAATTTTTTGACAATGATGAGTTGAGATTTCAGTTATACCCTGACAACTGCTGACCCATGGCAACTGTAAGATAATAACTGCTTTGAGCCATTTAGTTCAGGATTTATAGCAATCTGTTACATAACATAAGAAATGACTACAAATAGTCTGTAGTCAGGAAATATATATATTTTTATATGATTTAATTTTTTAAAGATGTAGTATTGTTAGACCAACTCAGAGAAAATTAGTTAACATAGCTGAACAAAAGCATTAATTATAGTCTTCAAGTCCCCCAAACCTCTTGAGCCCCAGAGTATTAAGGTGTTTTGAGGCTAGAACTTGAAGGCGCTTAGGAGATGTAGGACTAAGGTAGAAAGTTAATATCTGGGCAACTGACATGACAGTTCTTTAGGAATACTCTGCTAGAAGCAGCTGTATGTGTTTTGGTTGAGATTTTGAAACTATGTTGTCTTCACAATTGAACTGAAAAATTTCAGACTCACAAATAAAGCAGCAGTGAGAATCATTGGACCCCTGAGCACAGCACATAAATAGTTGCTGCAAATACTAAAGAGAAAAATGCCAAAAATAGACTGCACATAAACATCTATTCATTATAGCTACACTCATTAGAAAACTAAGACTTCCTGCTCTGTCCAAAGAAAAATAAATGTTATGTAAATTGAAAATATACCTCTGAGAAACACTTCCTGAGTGTATCTGGAACTTTACCATCCACCACATGCAGCATTCTCTCCATTTCTTCCCGAACAACATAGCTCCCAGATTCACTCGAAAAAAGACTAAAAATGTCTAGGAAAAAGAGAAACAGAAGAAATCAACCTTATCATAGATGAAATATCCCCTAGTAGAAATAGTTAATTCAAATTTCTCCATATCCTTGCCAACTCTTATTATTATCTTTTCTTATTTAGTTTTTCTTATTTTAGTTATCCGAGTTGGTGTAAAGTAGTATCCATCATCCAATTCCATGACTAATTATGTTGCGCATTTTTCAAGCACTTATTAGTCACTTTATATCTTCTTTGGAGAAATACTATTCAAATCCCTCACTGGTTCTCAGAACTTTACAGTTAATGATTTTGTATACAGCTCTGTTATCCGTTTGAGATACCAAAGTACTCACATTTTGCTTTTTCTTCATCTCGGCCACGTGTAAGGAGGACAAGTCCAACTATTAAGTTATTGAAGTGTAGCCCTTTGGCTGTTCCACCAAAAGAACAGTAAATCACCTAGGGAGAGTGGTAAAGGAAGCCTTAGAATCACAACTGTTGAGGCATTTAACAAATCGTGCACATCTGTAGACAACGTCCTAGTAAACTTTGGTGAAATTATGCTAACTTTATTATTCTTTTTCACTTTTTGCACCCGTGTATATCAATAGATGAAGCACTATCTCATAAAAAGAAGTATTTATTTTTCTCTCTCTAGAGTCTTTATCTGGTCCAAGGGGATAAGATAAAGGTTTTCTTCAATAGCCCCCATATTGGGTTTAGGATTTAGTGCACTAACAGAATTTTCTTCAACCTTTTAAAACTTACATGCATAAATTTGATTGAAAGTAAAGACATTCGCAAATTGAATGCCCAATAATACTAAAGATTCCAAAGGTATTTTATTACACTCTCAGAAGTGAGTAAGAATGACAGTAATGAAAGAACAATAGATAAGCACAGGAAAGGTACAGCATCAGAAATCACACCCACATTCAACCAATTGACAATTCTTTATTGAGTGTCTGGCAGAGATTTACTATCATAAAACTTGGGGTTAAAAAATATTTCGAGAAATAAAAATTACATGGTGAGTATGAAAACTGAAAATAGATATTCACTAAATAATATTTTAAACGATATTTAATAACACTGACAGGTGATAACCAACAACTATGTATCTTTAGTGCACTGAAAGCTCAATCTAGCAAAACTAGCAAAGAAAGATGGCTTCAGATAATACCATCTTGCACAGAGCATACAAAATATACTTTGTGGAAAAACTGATTTTGGTTTTTCTCTTGCTGTAGGAAGGTAATGAAAATACCCTCTAGCTCGTGGAGTGGGAGGATGTGAAGGAAAAGATAAAGTCATAGACCCTTAAAGACATTAGACTGTTGGGAAAGTCTTACTCTTACACAGCACAAAGAAAGCCTAAAACTGAAGAAATAGGATAACAGATTCTCCTCCTTAGTATGCCCTCCTCCTGGCCCCATTGTGCTAGCAAGCACTGAGAATAAATAACAGCAGTTTACTGCTGGGGAAGAGGAAAGCGCATGGAGATAGACCTTCTAGGAGGCACAGCAACACCAACAGTTGATGGTAGAGCAGGCTGGAATTTGCGGCCTGTCGCACACTGAGGGTAACCATAGCAACGATAAGGCACAAATACAGCTCAACTATGGACTACAATGGCTCAATCCCACATGTTAAATAAATGACATACTGCGGGAGAGGGGAGCGTGGAGGGAGGGGGAAAAATGAGGAGCTGACACCAAGGGCTCAAGTGGAAAGCAGATGTGAGAATGATGAAGTCAACATATGTGCTAATGTGCTGGACACAAATGATATATGTACAGATTGTGATGAGTTGCATGAGCCCTTATTAAAATGATTATTAAAAAAACATAAATGACATACCTACACATACTATTTAGCAAAATCTCTACTATCCTATACAAAAACTTGTCTTTCCATCACAAATTACATGCCACACAAAATGAGGAAAAAGAACCCTCAAAAACCAAAAATAAACACTGTCAAGAGACAACGGAAAAACCTGTAACAAAGATGAAGAATGCTTTGGAATGGGTCAATAGCAAATCCTACAGAGTCAGGTTGAATAAGAGATTACCCAATATGAAACACAGAGGAGTAAAAAATAAACAAACAAAACCAGAAAATAAAACCCAAGACTGGTAGGAAAACATTAAGTGATTTAACATAATTGAGATCCTTAAAGAGGAAGAAAGTAGGCAGAATAAATATCTGGAGATAAAGGCTGAGAATTTTCAAAAATTAGTAAAAGATGTAAAATCGCATATCCAAGAAGCTCAAAAGAACAGGAGGCAGGGTAAATGCCAGCTTATTCCCCAAACACTGACTAAGACAAATTATATTCAAACTACTCAAAATTCTGAAGGCAGCCAAAGGGAAAAAAATCACATTAGACTGAAAGAAAAAAAAGATTAAAACTGATTTGTCACCATGGAAGTGTATGATATGTGAATACTATATCAAGAAAACTACTTAAAAAGAAAAGAAACCATACTTGACCAATGGTTACCATGGGTGCAGGAGGCATTGAGTTTATGCTAATGGTGGGGAAATAATTTGGAAAAGGATATCAATAATGGTTGTAGAACATGAAGAGTATAGTCAAAGGCACTGAATTATACATGTGGAAGTGGAATTGGGGGATATTTTGTTGTATATAATTTTGTCACAATTAGAAACAAATAAATACATGAATAACAATAAGTAAAAGGAAGAAGAAAATGTTTTAGAATTGACGGTAGTGCTAATTACATGATTGAAGTAGTGAATTGTACGACATGTATATGCAGTGCTAATAAAACTGTACATAGAAAAAAAACAACTGATTTGTCATCAGAAACTACATAAGCCAGAAGACCTATGGAATAATGCTTAAACTACTGAATGGAGAAAAGTTTCAAATTACTTAAAAAATGTATTCCTATATATTTAACAACAACAAAAAAAACTATAGCCAGAAATTAATTTTTCCAAAAGGAATGAGAAATGGACTTTTCCAGGAAAACAAGCAGAAACCATTACCAGCAAACCTGTATTGAGAAATAGAAATGTGTTACCATAAAGATATGTGTACTGACAGAAAGCAACGAATGCTAAAAATGGCATAAGTGAAAATAAATAAAGTTATTTCTTTTTTATTGCTCTACAAGAAAGCTATCTCATGCAATAATAGCATTAATGTATTGTGCATGTATAGCATATAAGGAAAAACACAAGGCAACAGCAGCACAGAAGACACAAGGAATTGAAAGCATTGTATTATAAACTCACATGAAATGGTATAGTATTGTGCCATATAATATTCAAATATTATATTTGACAAAAGGCTGATTAATTTCAAATGTATGCTTCAAGTCCTATATCAACCACCTAAAAATCTTTAAAGGATAAAAAAATCAATACTGAAGAGAAAATAAAATCACACAATTATATTAAATTAATTCAAAAGATAAGAAAAAAGAAATGGGTTTGAACTATCTTACACCATATACAAAACTGAACTCAAAATTAGATCAAGGGCTAAATGTAAAGCCTTTATCTATGAAAGTTCTACTGGGATAAAAGTAGAGGAGAAAAATATCAACAGTCCTTGAGTACGGCAAAGGTTTCTTAAATATGGTACCAAAAGCAGGATCCAGTAAACTGTTCTTGTTTAATAAAGTGAACTTCATCAAAATTAAGAACTTCTGCTCTTCAAAAGATACTGTTAAAATAATGAAAAGACTTGTCAAAAATATGATAAACATCTGTAAAAGGACTTGTACCCAGAACTCAAATAACTCCATCTTAATATGAACAAAAGATTAGCACAGACACTTCACCAAAGGAGGTTATATAAATGGCAAATGAGCACACGAAAACATGTTAAATACAACACAGTGAAGCAGTGCTCAGTCCTACACCATCCTCACAACTGTTGTGTTTATGCCTATCTCATTGAGGGGTTGTCATCTTTTTCACTAATTCTCTAGCAAGCACGATACCCTTCAGGAGTAACTAGTTCCTCTTGGTAACATATCCAAAGTATATAAGCTAATGTTTATCCTCCTTGCTTCGAAGGGGCAACCAAAACTCACTGTCATCAAGTTGATCCCAACTTTTAGCAACTTAATAGTCTGTATATTAGTATATAGCCTTTTGAATCAGGTTTATTTCATTTAGTATATGCATTTGTGATTCATTCTCCTAGTGTATCATTCTTTTTTATTGTTGAATAGCATGCTGAATATACCATGAACTGCTCTAGGGTACATACCAATATACCATGAACTGCCAGATGTACCCAATAGCAGTTCATGGTATATTCAATATACTACTCAGCAATAAATAAGAATGATACATACACTAAGAGAATGACACAAATATATACACTAAATGAAATAAACCTGATTCAAAAGGCTATATACTAATAGCATACAGAATATTACCAATTTTTTTAATGGGCAGAGAACTTGACTGCATATTTCTCCAATTAAAATATAACAAATGGCTAAAGTACATTAGAAGATGTTCCATTTAGTCATATGGGATATGCCAATTGAGACTACAATGAAATACTATTTTACCCTCGTGAGGATAATTACTAAACTCACTGCCAATGAATTGATTCTGATTCATAGCAACCCTGTAGGATAAAGCAGAAAAGAATCTGTGGGTTTCTGAGATTGCAACTCTTCAGAGTAGAAAGCTCATCTTCCCCCTATAAAATGGCTAGTGGTTTCAAACTGTTGACCTTGTAAACCCAACACATAACTCACTACACCACCAGAAAACAAGTGTGGAATAACTTCCCATGAAGATTTAGTTTTGGATACCCTATACAGGGTCACTACAAGTCAAAATTGACAATGCTAGTGGGTTTTAGTTTTTGGTACACTATTGAAGGATTATAAAATGTTTGGCAGTTCTTCAAAAGTTAAACACAGACGCCCCATATTGACCCAGCAATGTCACTCATTCCTAAATACATACACAAAACTCTTAAAAGTGGAACTTGTATACCGATGTTATTGTATCATTTTTCATAGTCAAAAGATGGCAACAACCTAAGTACCCACAAAAGATGAATGTGTGAACAAGATACAGTAGGTAGATAATGGAATATTTTTCCTTCCAAATATGCTATTTTCAAATCAATGGTCAACTTAAAATTAACCAGGTTTAACTCTTAAGCTCCCAGCTTATTACTAACACACTAGCTTGATCCATGGCATGCATTGGATAGCAAGAATAGTTTGAAATAAAAAGAAAAACTCACTGCCAACGAGTTGATTCCTACTCATAGTGACCCTGTAGAACACAGGCTGCAGTCTCAGAAACCCACAGGGGCACTTCTACTCTGCTCTATCGGATCACTATGAGCCACTCAATGACAGTAAGTAAAACTTGACTTAGTTCAGAAAAAATCACTTAACAGATGTTTAACTACTACTACTACAACTTGCTGTAAGATGCTTACTTAT